TTTCTTACTTAACATTAATTGAAACAGGTGGCAAATTACCTTCTGCTATCCTCGAATAAACTGTGCAAGAATCTTATTTCTCTTAAATGAAGGTCGTTAATTATTGATGATCAGAGTAACAAAACATACTGTTGTATTTTAATCTTCTTAACCTCCAATTATGTTAAACAAAATCTTATTCAAACAGAAAAGAATCACGCATATATAGCATAAAATCCACGAGGTAACTTTTGGCTCGACAGAAGTTAAGTTAATTTCTTATTAAAATACGAGAAATTCTAATAAAATTTTACTGAAAGGACGAGTTCAATCTCCGGGAGAAAAAATTTAAAGTAAACAAAAATTTTCGCATGTCATCGTTCAGTGTATTATATGTCGTATACTAAATATCGCGGCAAGAATAGATTTGTCTAGATCTACAGCAAGAACTTAGGATAACAAAACAACTGAATGATTCACCGTCTCGTGTGATAAAAGACAGCCGCAACTGACTCATAAATTAGAAATTAATGTATGGAGCGTAAGCTAACAGCATGTTGAGAACTTCACCTTGCATATCTTTTTTGTTCCTTTGGGTACAAATCCACCCCAACTGAAAACAATCCACAAGCCACTGAAATTGTTTGATTGCAACTTTCTATTATTTTTTACATTAGTATACTATTATCTAGAGGTTTTCTCGACTCGACATTTTTTTCCGCTCTAGCAAAAAAGTAGAAGATGCCCTTTTCAGTTTTAGTTAGCCCACATTACGAGTTAAGCCCCTAGCAATCCTTAACTTGAAATTTCACAAATCAACTCAAATAAAAGCTGCTTCCTGTTAAACGTCACCAACTGTTATGCTTACATATGGACACTCTTTTCTGACAGATTTTTCATTAACTTATATAACCTGCCCGTGGAGATGATCACAGGGGTTGTTTTACAACCAAATGATAAAAAAGTCTGCAAGATATGTTATTTCAAACAGACAAAAAAAAAAGTAATTTTTTTAAAAAAATTAAAGCTTTAAAAGCATGGGAAAGCGATTTTAATTGATTAACACATGTTAACACAAACGTTATCTGAGACATCGCGCTCCAATTTGACAAACTTTTAATCAAACAAAGAGACTTTCCTTCTTTTAGCTGGCACAGGAAACTCTACATTCATATATTTATCTTTCTCTATCTTGTTTTGTTTATATCAAATGCATACAAAGTATACGTCAAGTATACAATATGCTTTTTTGCCAAATGTGCTCGAATTATACGCCTACCTTATATAAAACCTCTCTCTCCTTTATTTATTCTTCATGGCTTCTATACAAGATGTAATTATTTTAAGGCTCAGTGACTACAAATTGAAAATGTACACTGATATAATGACACTATTACAAAAAAATAAATGAAACATGAATTTTAGTAAAATCATTTAATAAATTAAATAAATAATTTTATTAAAAGCAAATATAATTCATAAACCTAATAGCACATTTTTGAGTTCTAAGCGAGGCCTGGTGCACAACCATTCATATTAAAATGAGTTTAATTTACATGTGAATGAAATCTCATTTTCCTATGAATGGATGGACACCAAGACGCCCTTTGAGAAAGTGGCTAAAGGTAATTTAGAAATGATCTATTTCGGCTATTTCGCATGGCATTTGATGCCTTCTACAATGACCATTAGCGTCTTTCTATGAACTTGTATTACCTGTATAATATAGAATTACATTAACAAACAAATGCTATCTAGGCGTTATGGACCCCTCTGTAGGTTCCCTGGACACGCCCTCCACTTTGTCCCACTTCTGTCTGTCTGCTTTCATCAGCGTGTTAAACACAATAGAACCAATAAGATAGAATAAGAAGGTAATCCAAAAAACTGTACGCCATTCTCCT